ACATATCTGTAAACAAAGACAAAAACATCAAGTTCAAAATACATTTGTGCATCAGCTGACATGTTCGTCCTCCTTGAAAAATCGTCAGTGTTCGGTGTATCAACCTTTTCGCCCTCTGTGTTGCTCTCGAAGACGAAGGCGCTAAACGAGGGCTCTCCCTCCTCATCGCCGTCGCTCCAGTCTCTGCCCTCAACCACAAATCCCATCAGCCTCCCATTCTCTTGGTGGGCTGCAAACTGGCACACCTCTCCAAGCTGGAACTGAGAAACGAGGAGTGTTGAGAGAGGTGACGGGAGGAGAATAAAGATATTAAAAAATGCGCTAGGATATAAATCACAGCGAACTGACTCGATCTCTTGTCAAACTTACGCTTATTCTGGTAACTTGAGTCTGAGGGTCAATCAACCTATTGTGAAGACAAAATAAAGGCTTTTTACAAGAAAATGAAAACAGTACAGTAATGCTTTAGCCTTCACTCTGAATATCTCTGTTTCTGTAACGTAGCTCCTATCTCTCTCTTTCTTATAGACAGTGCAATGCTTACAGAAGGTGAAACTTCTTACAAAATGTGAAAATCAATCATAGGTTATACAACTCAACATTACATGGATAACTAGTGGGGCGAACAAAAGCGCTGTTCGTCGCAGATATTTATGCTACAAAAGGTTCCTGCTTCAAAGTATTTTTTCTTTGTAGTCTTCAGGTAGTGCTGTAGAGCAGTGGCTCTAATGCACCCTCACAGCCCTGTCTGACAGACTAAAGTGCCCCTTCATCCACACCACCTGTCATGTGCTAAACATATTCATTTGAATTGATTCTAACTCAGTAAGTGGATATATACACACAAATTACTTGAGCCTTTTCTTCAATCTTTCCAACACCCCCTGGGGTACAAGGCATCATTGATGTAGAGCACTGCTGGCCAATGTTTTAGCATATATATGTATGTGTGTATATGGTATTGTGTTGCGAATTGTCAGAGGATTTCAGGACTGTGTAGCTCAAATCAATATAGTTAATTTAATTAGAAAAACACAAACACAAATTGAATTAATTTCTAACTTGTAGCTGAAAGAGGCTGTGTGGCAGACAAATGTTTCTTTACAGGGTAAGAAGACCAAAAAGATTTCTGAAAAAACACAGCACAGTGAATATACCATTATATTTTCTCTCCATACCTTTGGTAGAGATAGAATATTTTTTTTATTTTTTTTTAAGTAAACAATAATTGAAGCATCTGTTTCGTGTTATCTGTATATATTGCTGGGAAATTACTGAATGCATCTCCATGTTTATATGCCGAGATCCAATCACTCGTCTTTGTCTGCACAGGTGGTCATTCATGTGACACTTATGTGATATGTGATCAATTCTACCTGAGGCTACTGCTGGTGACCATGAGGTGGGACTCGGTGGTCCTGAAGATGTTGTGGATGGCTCGGGCAGCCAAAACCTGCCTCATGGCCTCGTAGATGACTTCCTGATTGTTGCCACAGCGCACTGCCATTGAGCCCAGGAAGCGCACGGCGAATACTTGCTGCAGGAGGGAGTCTGTGGAAACATAGGAACATCAAGCACACACACACACGTCAACAGCATATACACTCAAGGACAGTAAACAAAAAAAACAGCACACAAGGTAGACAAACATGCCCACGATGAGGTTACGCTAAACTCGAGCAGTGCTTGCCGGAGCAGAAGTGGACAATTAAGATACATTTAGAAGAGGAAAATAGTTACCGTCACTTTCTGTTGAACAGTCATCGTCCGTTTCTCCAAACGGATTTGTGCGTCTGTCAGGAAGGGAGCACACACATACCAGAAGAAAAACACAATTAAACCCCTGCACTGAGCCATTACAAAACACTCAGCTTCCTGGAAATCATATAAACAACCACTATGAGGCAAACTTTCAGGAAATTAGTGTCATCACCCACCAGTATCTTGTTACTGCCTGTCTCTCACAAACATGCACCCACACAAACTTCCTGCCCCAGTCGTGCCCTCACCTCCCCCCTGCTCTGTTTTGGTCCTGAAACTCGGAGGCCGGCAGCATGATGTCAAACTGAATGGGTGTCCCAGGGGCTATCAGATCCTCCGGTTCCGGAGTAGCCCCTGTCTTCTGGGAATCGCTGCTGGCAGCATGTATGCCCCCTGGCTTTGCTCTGCAAGAATTAGACGGACAGATTAAAGATAAATTATAAGGAATAAACCAAGTAAACCCTAAAACACCCACTACTCAACTTATAGGACAGGTTCCAAGTTTATCTTAATACCATACTCATGTGCCCTATGTGAATCAAAAGAGTTATCCGTCTCTCCTCTCCACACTGGCCTTCCCTATGCAACTGCAATTTAAGTGGCGGGATAAAATCTGACTTCCTGTAAAGGGAATGCAATAAGTACATATTTGCATAGAAGGTGGATTTTGTCCTCCATCACTTACACTTCAGTTGCATTTCGAAGAATTCCCTTCACAGCCATTACGGACAAGAGGAGCAATTACAGCAATCACGAGTGCTTTCAGTGTACATTAGGTGTTATTTTAAGGCAAGACTTGAACAAATGTGAGCCTATTCTTTTTCTGTTCTCTTCTATTTCAGACAGAGTTTCTAGACGGTAACTGTTGATTTGCAGGCTAAAATGGAAACTTTTGCTTGCATATTTCATCAGATTTATCAACTTATTTAACATGTTAAAGAATATTTAACATAAATATAAGGAAGAAATATAAAAATATAAGAAAACAGCCTTCTGAGTACCTTTGCATAGTCATACTGGAGCACAATCCACACATATAGATCCACAATTCCAGCTCAAACATTCACTAAATCCCCTCTAAAATTGGTATCTTTCTCAAAAATCCCATATTGGTCATGCTCTAATAATCACAATCCAATAATTTTATACACCAAGAAAAAATACATGTAGAGGAAGAAGTCATGACACAAAGAAAAACTAGTATCTCCCAATAAAAAACTAATATAAGGAGCCAAAACACAAGCAGATCAAATAGACAGTGCAGCCTAGTCCTCAGTTATCAAAACTGTAATATCTGCAACTATAAAAGCATTCAATTCTAAACTTCAGGAGAGGATTCAGTGTGTAGTGTTATGAATAAACCCTTACACAACTAGCATGCCTGACCTGTCAGGGTTGGGTGAGCCTTCTGGTCTCTTCTCAAAGCTGGTGATGGGGGTGACTGCCTGGATGGCGGTTTGGTTCAGACGGATGGCCACAGCCTGACAACAAGAAACAGGGATATTGCAGCATCTCTGTATCAGCAGGTGAGTCACTTATAAAACCACAAGTGTGTAAATATGCCAAATATATTTAAGATTTTAACCTTACCTCTCGTCTCTCACAAATTCTCTACATTATCTCAAACTCATCTTTGCTCTGTGTACCAAAAGCAGGGTCTATTCACCAGCGATAATCCTTCACAAATAGCTGAAGTTTTCCTGGTTTTTAAATGTTTTGTCAAATAAAGAAATGACTGAAGGTCTTATGTTCAAAGTAAGTCTTTCTAGCCATTTCTGGGCCCAGACGTATATACTTAAGTGTAGTGTCAGAATAGTCTTTTTTTCTCATACGCCGAGTACAAACAAATACAGTACATCAGTGTTCATAGGCATGTCATAACATGAAAAATGTAAAATAATAATACAATTGAAAAACTAGTTGATTTATAATCATTGCTTTAAGAAATTGTCATAAATAATAGAGCATGTTATAAATCAATGATTCAATGGCGTGCAAGTTTCCTCTCTGCACTGTTGTTTTAATCTATTTAGTGGCAACAGCATCACGAATGCTTGAGCCTTTTTAAAATAAAATAATGAACACAGGTCACAAAGACGAAATGAACAGAAATACACAGTAGTTTCCATAATGTTGACACACAAATATTCTCTCCTATCGCACATTGCTGCACCTTGTTCAAGTGAAAAGCAAATAATTTGCAGTTACGTGACACCATACCTATCAGAATCTGAAATCTCTAATTATAATTTACTCCATGTTAACTACCAAGTGATAATAATCATGTAGGGAAAAATAAACACTGTCAGTAATAAGAAAAAGGAGTGATTTCAGACACAGCTATAGTCTGTTTGTCTCTGGGGAATCTGAAAAATAAATTTTTTTTTCCCTCCTGCAAACACTCTTGCAGATTCTGGGACTGAAAAGCAGAAAAGGCAACAACAGCTGTGAGACACTTCAGTAAGAAGAGGGAGGGGGTTTACGTGATAGCAGTGGAACAACACAATTAGATTTTATGCCTCTTAAACAGAGAGTTCCTCATATTATGTGTTACTAATTAAAGCGGTGGAACAACAAATAGAGGTCTGATCAAATATTGTGGGTGATGTTCTAACAACAGCACCAAGATTAATTAAATGTTTCTGATTTAGAGCCAGAAAAGAAAAAGTCTGATTCCTAGATATTTGGTTTAGTTGGTGTGTCTAACTTGCAGTGTGGTGTGTGTGTGTGTGTGTGTGTGTGTGAGAAACTGTGTGGGGGTGTGTGTTACCTCTGGGTTGTCAGTCAGGTAGATCTGTCTGGAGATGTTGTTCACAGTGCAAATCCACTGAGAAAGAAACACACAGATCCACATTAGGACTTCCTCTATGCTCAAACACAAGCCGCCTGAAATCATTTGACTGATACCAGCTGTGACAGGCCAGTCAGATGCGTCCAAGCACAAAAAACAAATATAAAATCCTCACAAAGGATTCTCGACAGGTCCTCCATTCTTCTATGACTGATACCTGTGCCGGCAAATATCTTTAGGATGAAGATGTAAATCAATAAGAAGGATCAAAAGAAGCCATTTGAACGGCCTCTCTCACACTTACTTCTTCATATTCCCTTTTGCTCTCTGCTTGTAGAATCATTGACCTGTGGGACAATGGAGATAATTAAATAAAACACATCCAATATCTCACACGTTTGTGTCTCATTCTCTTATGTAGAAAAGTGAACATACGTTTTGCCCGAGGGGGAGGTTATCTGAAAACAGTAACGTCTGTCCTCGCACTCCACCGCCATGACGGAGCTGTTGTCCAGGTCCAGCACCATGCCCCCCGCCACCGCCCCACGTGGCTGGCACATGAGGTTCCCTCCCTGGGTGAAGAAGTACAGTCTGTCCCATGCTGTGGTGACTAGGCCTGTTTTACTGGAGTACAGAAAAGAAGGGGCAGGAGAAATAGATAAAGATCTGCAGTAAAGGACGAGATTTTTAAAAACATCGCTTTCGCTGCCACATGTGGCCTTATAGAAAGTTTGATGAGAGAGCGGGCTACATAAAGAGGAAGAATGTCGAGGATTTGAGGCTGGATGTGATGGAAATTCCTGGCTCACATCTGGCTTACAAATGAGCTTAGCGAAGATAAAGATATGCAAGAGGTATCTTTTAAGTCCTTCTCCCTTTCTAAGTTTAGTAACGGATATTATAACTAATGTAAACAAACATACTTTTAATTATGATTGGATAAGATAACAATCCTGCTTAGTTATTAACCAGATCTTGAAATGATATAAAAGTGGCTCATGTGTCCATCAGTTCTCCTTAAACGATTCCATGCTTCTGAGTTAATTCTATTGGAGCATCTGTATGAGCCTTCCTTTGTTCCAGTGCTATCCTTGCACAGAGGTTGTGTTTAGGCCATTTTGGTTTCTGTGCATATGAATAAAAAAAGAAACTACAATGTAATTCAACTCTGACTCAATCGGTTTCAAAACAAAGTGACATGTATATGACTCATTTGAACTGCTCATCTGTAAGACTTCCTCTTGTACACTGTGTTCATATTATATATTACCAAATACATTTCCTTTGATTAATATCTCAGTGTGTGGCTCATGCTGCCTTGGGTGACTCAGACCCTTAATATTGAGAAACCATTCGAAATAGCAAATGTTCTCTGGACTCAGCTCCATTTGACAACGATTGAGGCTGCTGGCAGTGTGTGTCATTAAACTGAATGGCATTCGGTGGAAACCTTTTCTCTGGTGTCACAGACATTTGTCAAAGACTTTGGATGTATATGAGGGAGGGACAGAGTTTGACAGCTCTGACATTTCACTAAATCACATTGCAGGCTACGCTACAGTATTACCCCCTGAAGCCATTAAAGAAGTTTCCCTTCTCATATATCCACTCTGCAATAAGCTGACAGCGCGCACTGTCAACATGTTACCTGACCCACCGTCTGCTGTGACAGAGGTATTGTTTACAATATTCATGCGTAGTTGGACAATCTTCAGCAAGAGGAGCAAAAATCGTTTATGTATTTAGACAGTCAGTGCCTAATTTAGCTGCAGTGTATTGATTGCACCAGACTAACAAAACAATGAAACATCACATATGTAAAATGAGGACAGATTACAAGCTTGTACGTCAGCTGTTTGATTCCTTTTTTTTTTTTTTACCGCAAGACCCCTCTTTACATATCGACTAGCAAGTAACACTGCGTGAATAGGAAGTGTCCTTGGGTTTAAGATAGGGCCATAATGAGTGTAATTAATCTTACTTCCTAATGTTGAGGTAGCCAGCCTTCTGGATAAGCGTGCGATTGACGGGCTCAGTGTCCTTATCTGGCATGTAGACAGTGTCCTCCACAGACAAAAGCTCCCTCTGAGACCCACGCATGGCCTCCGCTTCCGCATCTAGCTGGGCCTGGATACTGGACAGGAATAAAGTTTTAACACAGGCAAAATCCCATATGGAATATTTATGGAGAATCAATGCGTTACAGTGAAATGATTTCTGTTCAGGATCATACACAACCGGCTGCAGTAGGCTACTGTTCCTACTAAAGTGATGGTTTATCACATGTACTGTACACATTAAAATGAATGTTAATGAGATAGTCTTTACTTTTGTGTCATGTTGGACACGGAGGAGAGAAAGTTGTCCATCTTCTTTGACACCAGCTCAATGCCTTTCTTGAAGAAGCTGATCTGAGAGATTAGAAAATAACAATGAGCAAATAATCTTGTATATTTTTTCAGACTTTAATTTGAGATGATAATCACTTGGCTACATGTGGTCGCATGGCTGCAACTAACAGTTATTTTCATTATCAATCAATCTGCCCTTTATTTTCTCGATTCATTATTTTGGCTGTAAAATGTCAGAAAATACTGAAGTACTTGTTACAATTTTCCGCAGCCCAAGGTGATGTATTCAAAAAGCTTGTTTTATTTGGCCGATATATTTTATATTGTCATATATGAAAAAGAAAAGCATCACATCTTCACATTTAAGAGACTGGAACCTTCAGCCAATTCATTTTCTGTTAAAGGCCTTTGGTTACAAGGATAAAGTGTTTTTCCCCCAATAGTTTACAGTATATTGCATGAGCACATTTCACACCAACAACTGTCCTTTGTGAACTAAATTAGTTCAAATGATAAAATTGCTTCTGTGGTGTGGCCCAGTTTGTAGGCCCACAGCTGCTCGGTACCTGTGCTTGCGTGTAGCCTAGCATAGGTTCGAGCATAGCTACTCTCTTGCGATACTGCAGGGCGTTGAGGGCGCAGTAATACTGCAGTGAGGCCTGGTGCTGCTTCCTTCTAGTGTAGGCCACCTCTTTCACCAAGTCTGACTTCAGCTGTCCAGACAGGAGAAGGTTAAACATGCCAATACATATACAAATGTGTCCAGTACAAACTCACAATCAAGCTCTGCACACACACTCGTGCATATGCAAACACTCTCACACACATACAAATAAGTAACACTGTGGCATTATCTTGTACGCCCACGAAGACATGGCGACACATTTAATAGAAGGTTATAGTAGAGGAATCCTGCGGCCATTACAGTGCATGTTGCTGTTACAGTTTTACAGTGGGGCCTGGCAGTAGAGGAATATTTAATTCCACACATTTATACTTTTAATGATTATAAAACACTTCTACTGCATTACCAGAACTTTACTGCACTTAGTGCTTTTATATCTTGTGATCGATGGGCAAACAGCTCCATCAGTGAAGCTGGGAAAGCACTTTACCTTCTCATTCTCCTTCTTCTTGGGCAATCGGCTGTATTTGACCATGGCTGCCTCATGTTCTGCAGGAGAGGAGAGAAAGGACATGAGGATCAGATAGTACCTGTAGGCTGTAATTGTTTTCTGAAATAGGTTAGGATCTGTACTTACCATCAGTGGCGATGCCAAATATTTCCTTCAGTGTGCTTATCTCTGAAACGTAAAATTTTAGTTAGAACATCTAAAACAGATCCACATCTTTAAAAATGCATTATTGTAGATAACTCAAGCTACTGGATGATAAAATGGTTTTACAAACTGAATCCTTAATGTTTTAGAATTATTAATGAATGTGACTCGTAGCTTTGTTTTGAAATGTGTGTTTGTTATATTTAGAAGAATAAGCTATTTGCTTTAATATTCTAAACATTATTACAGAGAAACAATGAATTATATGACAATAATGTGTTATGCTGGAGTCAGGTGTCAGGTGGCCTAGCAGTTAAGGCGCTGACCATGAACCACTGGTTGGAAACATCTGTTGCCTGTCATTTTCTGTAATTTCCCTGCTGTCAGCTTGGTAATAAAAGGCATAAAATACAGCAAAAATACTTTAAAAAAGATAAAAATGTAATATGATAATGAGTTGTTTGTATGTGTGCGGCCCTACCTGTGAGGTCTTTCTCTCGGAACTGGATCAATGGGAAGACCATGCTGTCAGCCATCTGGTTGGCTAGCTCAGAGTGGAGCGAGTTCAGCTGGACCACACAAAACAGATTATACAAAAATATCAAGCTCTGCACAAGGACACAAACAGAAAATGTACCCTCGCCAAACATCTTGAGGGATTTCAAATGTATTATAATAAGTACAGTGACATTGGCTGCCAGTTACTCCTGCAGCAATCTGTAAAATAACATTCTTGGTGCCCCTATGCCTCTCCTACATCATAAAAATCCCATATTGTGGAACAGTACATTTCACGAAGAGAACAATAAAAGTGCTGTTTACTGTAATATTGGAAACAGGACCACATATCGCACAAACAAGCAAATCCTGCTTTAATTCTCTATACTTATCAGCAAGCTACACTCCAACGTCTAACAAGCTGACAACCAGTTTAATCTGAATGATTTAGCAAGTGCTAAAGTTCACAGGATTAGGTGCAGGGCTACTTTTCACTGTGAAATGAGTTCTCTGCCGTAAAGAGGTAAAGGTCGAGCAAACAATCAACCTGTGTCCTCTGAGCATATGTGGATGTGTGTGTCCTAAATCCTATTGAGTGCTGACTGGGCAGGGTTGTGGACCCCCATGGCTGACGGGGAAAGGCCCATCTGTTTTGTCTATATACCTGAGCCTACACACCCCTCCTTCATCCATCCATCCACCGCTGCCTCCCTCCTGCCATCCATCCGGTGCCACAGGCCTCATATCTACCTCACTGTTCCACTCTTAGCATCAGCTTACTGGGAGGATAACGCTCAGGTCTCTTCATTGAGGTCATTTTCACCGGTATGCTAGGGAAGCGCAGGTGCAATACCCTTTATAACATGACAAAGAACCAACCACTGACCGTGCAGTACTTCATCATCCATCTCTACTGCTGTGAGTTCGCACATAAATATACACACATACAACAGCAAAACTGCAAACACAGGCCTCACCTCCCCCACAGTTTTGGCGAAGTTCTGCAGCGTGGTGATTACCTCTTCATCACCTTTTCCAAGGGCGAAATTCTAGACAGAAGAAGAAGGGAAGAGGGAACAAGTTTAAACCACGAAACGTATAGATCCAGCGTACGCGTGACAATTTCTGGCACATCACTTTTATGGAACGAGGCCAGAGATGCTAATAAATCCCATGCTAAGATGCTGAGTTATAGGCCTTGTTTTAAAGGAGCTAAAACTGCATCCATTACAGGTCATTGCAGAATTTGCTCTATCCAACATCCTCAATCCACAATGGCTTCCAACAGTCAACTGATCCACTTATCTTTCTTTTTTAAGCGTGATTTAATAGACCTGCTGTGGTGTTGACTTCAGCAACTATTCTGCTTTTTAGTTCTTGTTAGCTACATAAAATGAGACCACATGATACATTAGCAGCAGAGAGCGACTTCAAGGTTATATTTCGCAGAGACACACATGCTAAGATGAGGTGTGGCAGACACATGCAATCTCACACGTGGAAAGAAAGGTCAGATGAAAATGATAATGTCCATGCTGGCAGTGCTCAGAATACAGGTTTGATTTTCTCATTTTCTGACTCTGCAACACACACATAGCACTAGTACCACCCGCGCACACACTTATTAATCCATACATGATACCCATCCGCACATTATAATCATAAATATAATCCGCACATTATTACATCAACATCATACCATCGCACACAGTACTTCATCATACCAAGTAGATCGCCATTATTGCAATAATCAAATAATCGCACTTACTTTAACGTCATACATAGTACACATGCCAACACTCTACTAATCATACATATAATCACACATTATTGCACATTAGTAGAGCTTCTTGAATTATTTCACCTAAAATATGAGAATACATGTGGGATTAAGTCACAATAATGGTCAAAGGCTTGAGTTTGCTTTCAGAAGGGTGGAGGGAAAAAATTATATAAAAAATTATATATACTCATATACTTAAAAACTTCTAAAGCTCTGTATTGTAATTCACTAGGGATTAAACAATTACTGGTTTAATAAAAGGTAAGTTTAATTTTAATTATCATTAAAACCGTGTTTGGTTCCCACACTCAATTTAAATACTGTCCAGCATCAAACAAAGCAATGACAATTTTGGTCTTTATAATCATGATATGAAATTTTCATATACACACTAGCAGCTGCCCTGTAAGCTCATTGCTTTAAGCAAATTGTAATAACTGAAGGCGATTATGCCAAGTATGTCAGCCATGTTTGTCAACTATTCTCCTATTTGGACTACAGTGACTAGACAGTCAGAGGAAAATGTCCAGAAAGACTGCAGTCAGAAAATTAACCTGAAACATTAAAAGTGATGGGGGACATGTCCCATCATCCTCAGTGGAAATTGCACCCTTGGTTGTGGTACTCATACTTACTTTCTTCTCATAGTCCAGAAGTTGCTGTGAGAGCTGCTCTGTGGCCAATCCCATCTCACTCTGTAGGGAGCAGACAGAGTATTACTGGGGATTTGTCCATAGATTCTACGTTTGTCATCAGGTGGAAGGTGAATCAGGGTTCAAATGAAACTTCCTTTGGAAAGGACACTAGGTGATCGGGTCACATAAACACCAACTCTACCAGTAAACCATTACTATTGGTTCAGAAAGGTGCTAATCAAGACCAGTGTTGGGCTAGTTACTCAAAAAAAAACTGCCAACAGTAATTAGTTAGACTACTAGTCACATTATGTTTCTGCTAATCCCCACAAAATTGGTAACTGTGTCCTTTCTCCACCAAAATTCAGACTTACGACAATTAAAATCCATTTTTTTTGTTTTTTTGTTTGCACCTTATATTTTTACTTGCACTTGTTTAACTTGCCACTAACACAATTGATACCAGCTATTTAATAACATTTTATACATATTTGCCATATTTATTATTATATTTTATTTTATATATATGTCTTAAGGTTGTCCCTATCTTATTGTGTTGTTTGACTTGTTTTACCTGTGTGTAATGCTGCTGGCTACACTTGCATTGTTTCCCAGCCTTGGATCAATTAAAGTATATTATTCATCAAATTTCAAAGTAATGGAATATTTCCAGCGCAAACATGGAAAGGCTCTCCATCTTTTCAAAAAACTTAAGTTTCCTCCACAGTTAACCAAGGAATGTGGATGCGATGTTGGATTTCAAAGAAGTAGGAGGGGTTGCCAAAATAAGGGTTTAACAACTATTTTTCGGCTGTACTTTTGATATTTATTACTTGATTTT